CTAAATGGAATCATGTTGCCGGAAGCACTTTCCAAGGTTACAGTGTTGCTCGCTTTACCGTTGCGATCGCGTGTGCGTTACAGCGGAAAATTCACCCTTTATTTGTGCATAAACACAAATTCTTGACTTGACATGACAATGCTCCTAGATTTCAACCTGTCTCAAAACACTGGTGGCATCATTAAAAAACACACCAATGTACTCGTGAATGCATCTACTGCCCTCAAAGTCAGGCCTTCAAGGGTGTTTAGCATGCACACTGGGGAATATACATTTATTCATTTATTTACTTATATTTGCATGAAATGTGTTAAGTGTCTGTAAATGTCAACGAATTAGATGTTCGAGGTGCCCTCCGTCGTTGTTGATGCACAGGAGTATTTGCCGGATGGTTTTGGCGAGGATGCTAAGAAATGTCAGACATTGGTACGGTTAAACAACCACCTACCGGACGCACTCCTGGAAAAGAAAAGGTGCCCAATGACTGTTTGACCAGTCAACCCAGCCCAAGCCATGAGCTTTGCGCTATGTTGCACACGTGCAGCGCTACATGGCCGTGGATTGGTTGTTGCCCAGACAGGTTGCGTATCTTTGCTAGGCATAGGGACCACAGCCTCATCGGTGAACAAACTGGAATGCAGGTCCAGACTGTTTAAGCACTGACGGGCGAATTCCAGGCGCTTCTGTGAATCGTACGCGTTCAACACTTGTATCTGCAGTGCACTGTACCGCCAGAATATTTTTCCTTCAATATCCGATGCATAGCATACTGTGTGGTTTCGCAGTGTTATGCGCGGTGCGGAATGCTGAGATGATCGTTACTGCATACCACTTGTGCAACCGCGCAAGCTAATACTTCATCCGTGACGGTGCAAAGCTTTGTTTGAGGTTGCAAACATTTGATGCGTTCATATTTACTGACATTTCACACACTTCATGTAAATCTAAGTAAGGAACCGAATAAATGTATAGCCTACAATGCACACGAGAAACGTCATCGAAGGCCTGATCCATTTGTACAACTAGCCATTATCTGACTGTAATGGCAATAGATGCATTCATGGGTAAATTGGTGTATTGTCTAATGGTGCCACCCGTGATTTGGAACAGTATAACTGCGTAAATTATTATAAAAAATATTAAAATTATAGCTTGTTTATGTATAAGCAAATTAGGCGGTTTGCTTGATGGAACCTTGTGCCCGTTTGCTTAGAACACGGATATGAGATCCACTTTTGGCGCGCGCAACTCGACTGCGAACGAGACCCCGTCAAAGCACTCGACCCCTAACTACATCGTCCCTTGCTAGCTCTCCACTGATGCCTTATTTTTAGCCTTAGCTAGCTCACCTCTGGTGCACTATTTTCAGCCTTAGCTAGATCTTCTCCGTTCAATAAATCTTTTCCCTAGCTTAAGTTTGTATGTTCTCCCGTACGCTCAAGGTTGGTCATTTAGTTACTGACCGGAAATATAGCGAACGACCAGTGCGCAATAAAGTCAGTTCACGCAGTGCAAAGGCCAGCACAGCTTTCTTGAATCTGCGGCACCTTTGGCGACCGAAGACTGTTTCCTTTCGTCTGAAAGGCCGTGTATACAAGGTCACAATGAGGGCCGTCCTGTTCTGTGGTAGTAAAACTTAACCCTTCTGTCTGAAGATCTGAGGCGCATTCAAGTCTTTGATCCTCGCTGTCTGCAAAGTGTTGCTAGTATCGAATGAAACTAGCGTGTCCGCAACGATGGTGTGCGTAGGCGAGTACTAGACAGTGATAATCATGCTAGCTTCCTAGAACAACAGATAGCACTGAATAAGTTGCGTTGGCTTGAGAACCTGCTACATATGCCTTGTCACCGCTTACCAAGGAGGGCATTGTTTAGTCTGCCAGATGAAGGATGGCGCAAAGCTCGAGGTGAACAGAAGTTGACTTGGCAGCAGGAAATGAAGTCACTTACAACCTAAATGGGTGCCATTGATACTTCTTGCCTTCCGGGATGCAGTCCACATGGCTCGTCTTGTACTTGACTCGAAACTTTACAGGACATGGTTCGTAACCGAAACTAGCGGCGCGCCTACTACCGTCTCCTAGTCGGAGCACCTATTTAAAGTGTATTTGGTGATCAGTTATCTGCGGAGTAATGGCTACTTATGATGCGGGGCAGTGAAAGCGGCAAGGAAGCTGTCTCGTCGATGCCGCCTTATCTTTGCACGATAGCCAGCTGTTTGTGACGGTTTGTTGTCTGCACAAGATTTATGCGACTTGACCCTGAATGTTTGTTTAGGACAATTAAGTTTTCAGCTAAGTTCCCATCCTCACCCTCTCCTTATTCTTTATTCCAGAGGTCATAATGGTTGCACGGCAGCAAAGGATCAATTCAAATGGCCGAAGCACTGCTGTTGTTGATGTTGTTGATGATGAATGAATCTGAAAAACGAGGTGGCTATAAGCTAAATGCATACCCAGCCACTTTTGAAAGCTACTACGGTATCACATGCCGACAAGTGAAAAGGAGGTTAATTGCAGCCACTTACAATTTGTGTTGCAATACATTTGCCTTAAAATCTACGTACTTTTTCTATTTTTTACCCTTCAGATGACGTCGCCACAGATAAGTCGGAGCAGCTAGCTCAAACATATTGGTAGGTTTAATGTTTCTTGAGCTCTTCATAATCATAAATATCTCAATCAATTCGTCTCTCAAGCTGCGGCATATTTTAAAAAATACCTCGAGCTCCTTAGAAGCCCTGTCCTTACAGATAGACGGCCAGCAGTTCACTTTGGGCTTACATTTTGTCCTTCGCAGGTGCAAAATTAGAATTTGCAAGTAAATGGCGTTAAATGTCAAGCTATGTTGTTGAATACTATTACGCATATTGAAAACTGCCGTTCTCTGCCCACAGTTCCTTACTTTTAATACATTTGTAATTTTGGCAACGTGCGAGACAGTTAAAGCGCCCTGAGTGACCGCATTTTATGCCCCACAATTCCAATCGGGCGAATTTGTAGCCAGTATTGGCCACACAAAATATTTCTGGTCAGCTTTACGGCTTTAGTATTGTGTACTTACAATCTGGGGCCCGACTTTTGCCTATCGTTGATGATATTTGCGACCGTACGAATTCATTCATAGTATAAGTTACGAGTGCGCTGGAAAATAATTTATGAGTCTTCCGACAGTTTGCCGGCAGCCCACGGAGAGCAGGAAATAAGTCCCAACTAAATATGAATCGGATTGCTATAGAACCGTGGGGAAAACATTTTGAAGCGCACAACCTAGTATACTATGGAATATAGAGCAAAGCGCTAGCCCTATATTTTATATGATCCTAGCTTTAGATGCTTCCTTGATTGTAGCACACGAAAGCAACTAACGCGCAAAAGTTTTTGAAAACACACAGAAAGGTATATGATTGTTTATTTCTACGGAAAATTTACAAATACGTCGAAATTCTGCCATGACCGAATTTTATCTAAAATGTATCTAACTAGGACGGCCAGGTGCATAAAAAGCGGTCACTCCGTGCGCTCCAACGACCACCCCAACGGACACGTTTAGGTCACGCTTGTTATGCTTGCAGTCTTTATAGCCTACATAATTACGCCAACAGGAGTTCGGCAGCAAAAACAAAAGTGACCAGCAAACAGGGTTCAAGTTCAAGTTCAAGTGGAATTGGAACTATAAGTTTATCCCGTGAGCGTTTCTTCTTCAGCGGGTCGTTGAACTAGGGGTTGGCAGATTTTCAAATGAAGATAGATCTAAAACAATGACAGCAGCACACACTGTCCAACCAATTAACGCCTTGCTGGGCCGGATACGTGGTAAGAAAGGGAAAAGTAGACTCAAAAGGTAAGAAGAGAAGGAGCAACGAGTTAAGAAAGTGTAATCTCAAGAACCTTCAGTCATTAAAATAGAACTGAAAGCTGTAGGTGTCAGTTAGGAAAAGAATGATTTTGGTGTTGCGACGCACAAGCATCGAGCTGACGCGCTAAACTCTTACCCGTATATTCCCTAACCACCTGATCTAGAAGCGAATTCCACCGCTCTAAAACTCGGCGCGACAGACCAGTTTCCGTCCTAATTCTGTCAGACAGTGGTATATGCACCTTTCTGGATGACTAAGGAGATTAGGAATCTTAGCGTGATTAAATAGCCCTGTAGCGCCCAAAAGACAACTCTTATCTTTCGTGTACAATTTACTTGTTGACCGATTGTACATTACTCCTTCTTGTTTTAATCTTACAACCGGCTCGACATTTTGG